AGAAAAAAAATGAAGTATATTTATAGTTATATTAACATTTTTAAACAAAATATAAATGCTCCCCTTTATAATGGAATTACAATAAATAAATAAATGCAATCAAACTCACCAATTATAAATACCATATAGTTCTTTATTCTTTCCCCTTGGGGAAATTCCTCCTGAAACTACATGACCTTTTCAAGTACTTTCTGATGAAATGTGAGAAGTGAACTATTCGTTAGTCACAAGTACCCTACAGGCTCAACAAACCACTCATTTTAATCCAAAATAATATATATGGTTCTAAGTAATACAAAATTTTCCCCAAATCAGATGGAAATTGGACTTTAATTTCCACTAGGATCCATATAAAATTTTAATTAGCATGTCTTTTTTTCTAAAAGAACCTGATATTACTCTTTAAATTAAAATATACAGTGTATGCACCCCTTAAGGTTTTCTTCACGTTACGTGTTAAATATACAGATTCAAGATAGGTCACTTGCTTCAAAACTGATTCATCCACACTGCTTGTTAAACGTGTTCTAAAACTCAAGGATCTTAAAATAAAGATAACAAATGGCGCATTTATTAAACAGCAACAGTAATCTTGAGAAGACACATACACGATTAGACGAGGATAGTTTCCAAACTGCTGTTAAAATTCTTTGAGCGACACGTACTTCCATTCCGTTAGTTAGATTTTGAGACAAAAGACGAAATAGTTGTTACATTACAACCTCTATAACGCTGAATTCAAAATATGAATACAATAGTAATTCATCTGTCGTTTTAAAACAGTATAAAATATTGTAACGAAGGAAACCAAAATATTTTCTGTGTATCATTTACCCTCTCCCACCAATAAACTTTCATATTTTAACACGGATATGGCTTCAGTTTTTTTGTCAAAGTTACGGGAATATCCCACAGTTGTACTTATTTGCATATTTAACCTACATTGGCTCGTTTGCTTAAAATAGGTCGTGAGGGACAAATACAGACAAAGCTTTTAAGGTGATCGCGGACTAATACTAGGAATACCAGTTGAAGCGGAAGGTTACTGTGGGGTGCATTGCTACTGTATAAATACTCGTGCGAGTTGAGTGTTTTGTGTATTTCCTAGAAGTCTAAGAAGAAGTAGTATTTGATATTTAGAAGTGTGTGAGCGCCTTCGCTCCCGGCACGAAAATGGCAGAATAACGATTTGCAACCCAGCAGCGGCGAACCCAACAGTGCAGCGGTGCAGTGCACTGGCCTTATATTTGGCAAAAATGGCGTAAGTATTTTTGATATTATCTGTTGACCGGATGTCATTTAAATACTGGTTGAGTTTAGGTAGGTCGAGACTGTCTTAACAAAGGGCGTTCTACATTTGTCGCTAAATCAGTTGATAATCTTAATTTCTTGAGGGAAAGAACTGTAGTGAACTGACTGCTGTACAATAGCAACGTGGCAAAACCAATATGGCGTGTATCTCCTCTTCCCGTACAAGGGCGTTACACTACAGTGTAAATAAAATGGCGAGAAGGAAACTCCGCCTGGCGGGCTCGCGCCTGCCATGAGATACGTCAGCTGTACAGTAACTGGGTGATTTCCGGAAGGCGGAGCAACTTAGGTCATGTCCATATTTGGTATTTCAGCCTGTTTGAGGGCGGGCTTGTCGAAAAGCCCAAGTCAACACCAAGGACGTCGTAGTCTAGCAATGTATATTAATATGCCTGAAATCAACACGTGTTATTCGTGTTATTATATTTTCCTCCCTCCTATAAATGGATCATCTACTTATCCTGACTACAATAAGTGGATTATAACATTTTTCTTATAAATATGAAGATACTGTTTAAGTCCAAAAATGGCATCCAACTTTAATATACATTCAAATTAGGCTTTATGATCTAATGATTGTTGACATTACAGTTATGTGGTATTTGCATAAATGTCCAGACCCACAACCTACCCATTCACCCTGTTCTGACTTTTCCCTGCAGGTCCCTCAAAGCAACCATCAGCATTGCTGCAGTCGACAGCATAGCAGAATCCCTCGACTCCTTGTCAGCCGACGACTCCTTGCTTTTGCAACCACAGTTACCACTGTTTGCCGTTTCACTGATCCCTGTGCTTGCCTGCCATGTCTCTGAGTATGGAAGCCGGCTTGGAGGATGTGGGGGCCCTGTTCTCGGGGTCCTCATTTCTGATGGCTGACCCCTTTGGCCCCCTACTGGACAAATATGAAGAGAAGCCTTCCTTAGAGGGGCCTATATCTCCCCTCTCTTTCTCTTACCCTGACTCTACCTCTTCACTTCATTCTCTCTTCCCTCCTTCCTCACCACCTTCGCTTCTGGGCAACAAGGCTGGGGATGAACTACTGGCCCTCTCCTGGCTGTCTGAAGAGATCTTAGATGCTCCTGTGAGAGCAAATAATGGCAGAGGTGAGGATTTTTAATATAAATTGGCCTTGATTCTGTGCCACATGGGATGACTAGTCAGTCTTTTATGAAAATTGTAGTGCCTTAATGGCTAAAAGGTGCATTGCTGTAAGAATGTAAACTAAGTTCTGAATTTAAGTGTCATAACTTTATATGAAATTGAACTGACTTTCTTTTTCAGAGGATGCCTTCTCTGGAATGGACTGGATGGCAGAGAAGATAGACTTCAATGAATTTGACCTGGATTCCTTGATAGGTTCCTGTGATTCGGATGAGTCTCCCAGCTCCCCAGAAGATCTCCTTGCTTCTCTTGAGTCTGAAATGGATCTCGATTCCCTTCAATTCCCTTCTCCTACTTCCCAGGAAGAGCTGCGCCTTGCACTGCCAAGTATCAGTTCCCTGTCCCCCTCTCAGGATGAGTTTGATGTCAAGTTGGAACCAGCTTCCCCAGCCCCTTCTCAGTCACCCTCACCTACTCCATCATTAACCTCAACTTTCACCTTGGAGCTGGGCAGTGAGGTGGATGTGTCTGAAGGTGAGAAATTGGCTCCCTCAGAGGGTGGAGGTACACCCCAGATGGTTCTCTCACTTCCAACACCCCACATTGTCCTTGTCCTGGCACCCAAAGAAGAGGAAGGAGTCTTGGATGTGGTGCCAGTCTGCTCAGAAGATCTCTCTGATGGTGACAGCGGGGTAGGTTCTGACACTGGTTCTCCGGAACACAGCCCCTGCCTGAGCTCGCCGGTTCTATCAATCAGCTCCCTGACCACAAAGCCATACTCGCGTCCAGTACCTGCTGTGCAGTCACCAGTGACTGCCAAGGTGAAGTCCGTTTCATCTCCTCCAAAAGTGGTGGAGAAGAAGCTGAAAAAGATGGAGCAGAACAAGACCGCTGCCACTCGATACCGTCAAAAGAAGAGGGTTGAACACGACACGCTGAATGCAGAGTGCAGTGAGTTGGAGAAGAGGAACCAGGAACTAAGTGAAAAGGCAGACTCTCTGAGTAAGGAGATCCAGTATCTGAAAGATCTCATTGAAGAGGTGCGGGCTGCGAAGAACAGAAGAAATAATGTCCGTAAAGATGCATCGTAGATCAAGGAAGGGCCCAAGTGAAGAACCCACCGTTATGTAGAATAGTGTCATTTGCTCAGAAAAAATCGACTCCAGTGCAAGGTTAATTTTTCAGCGTTAATTTGCCAGCTTTTCCAGTTTCCTCTACATTTTGTAGTTTTCCGTTTCTGTTTAGTCTGAATGTCCAGTAAGGGGTCACATTTCGCACCTTTGTTTTGTACAGTGCATTACTTGAATTTATTTAATATGAACAGTTTCTGTACATAGTACATGTAGTGCCACTGTTTGCTTGTAAAAAGCATCTTTTCTAATAAAGCTTTGCTGAGACATTTCCCTCAACATCTGTTGAACACGGTGTATAAACTTATTTTGCAGTACATCCTGATCTGTTGCACGGACTCAAACCATCCCAGTGAATGGATAGGCCTGCTGTGTGACTTGATTTTAAAGTAGTTACAAATGGGTGGGGCTGAGGGCATCTTTAAAGTCAATTTAAGTGCTTGTGGGTCACCAGCCAGGGGTATGAGTTTTCAGCTTTTGAATAGAAGGAGATTCCAGTATAAATTTCCCTAGGTCTTATGGCATCTGCTAGGGAGGTGCTTCTGAGAAGGAACTAAACTTAGGAGAAGCTGGAATGTGGAACTGAAGACGTCTTTCTCTCTCCTTATCCTCAGCTACGCTAACAGCTGCGCTGCTTTTAATGCAAGCCACATGAGTGTGAGTGCTAGTCTGTACTAAGCAACTATATTGAACAACTATTCCTAAAATACATCAGCTCTATAAGTAGCCTTTTAATGCTGGTTAATCCTGTATCAAGTTTATGTCCTTGTATTGAACACATGGAAAGTCTGGGCCTGCGGTTCATCAAGCAGATATGTCTCGTATTCCTATTGCGCCAGTTGCCCCAGCTGAAATCAACTAAGGGATACGTAACTCTGAACGGTGCTTTTGTAGGCACTGATCCAGGTATACTAAAACCTAAAATTATTTTCATTTTATATTTTCGTTGCAGTTTAATGAGATCATTTAACTAGCTTGTCGACATATATTTAAAAAAATCTCTGGGATCAATAAAGTTAAATCATATCTGATCTTAGTTCACGGCATACAACAGTTCAAACTTGTGGAAACAAAGTACCCACAAGCACATAACGATAACCTATCTGTGAACCCCGTTTGCTATACTTTACAAATGTGTTAGCGTATTTATTAAAACACGAAATCATTTAACTAATAATAAAGGAATGCAGAAACGCTACAAAAAAGCTCCAACTCGCGCCATAAGGGGACCGGAAGCCCGCGCGCATCGACTTCATCGGCGAGAGGCGGACCTGATGTCACGTGACTTCCGCGGGATTTTTCCCAGCCTCTTATCAGTACGGGGACGGGAAAATCTGCGGGAAGTCAAACTTCTAATAAACCTTTAAAGCAACTAAACTTTTTCCGAAAACACCATACCACTTTAAATGCGATTCGTAGTGTATGTTTGTAACTAAACTGATACGAAGGTAAGTAACGCGAGTTTCATTTTCTGTAATTTGTTATGTTTAGCTGTTCTGAGAGGCGGTATATTAGAATACCATGCACTCTGGACAGTATAAGTATTTTGCAGACTTCCCACCTTAGGCTTTTATATTTCATGGAGGCAGTTGAGGGGCTAGAGAGTGATAAAATTATTGGGCGAGGTTGCAGGGGTAAAACTTCTTGTCTTTTAATCTTACCTCCACTGAATAGCAGAACGACAGATGAGAGGCGTTGCATCATATTTTGTGACCGTCGTACATGTTCAAGTGCACGAGCCCCCTGCGCATTTCACGTACTGTAATTATTTTACCATTTACATTTAACGTACCACAGTTAATGTAACTTTTTCAAGTTCTACTTTCTGTTCCGTCCTCGTGTTTCTTATAGTGTTGCATCAGGAGCTATGATTGGAAATAACTCTTCTGCATGTTGTTTCTTTCAAAAGCAACATTCGCCAATTATATAGGTAGCTAAGAGTGGGTAATTTTGGGCTGTAAAACATATATCCGATGTTGCGACTATTTTCCACGATTTCACGCTTTTAAGTTTAATGTATTTATTTCAAAGGGGGTGCGTGCAAACTAAATAGAAATATCGACCAAGAATATATCCATGTACGTAAATGCAGATTTCAAATAAATGATTGTTTTAAAACGACACGATAGTTATTCTTTCTGATTGTTTGTTTATTTGACGTTTTACGTTGTGTATTTTGCGCAGACAGCTCGTGCACGTGAACAGGGACCTTGCGTTCATTCCCAACAATAACACGCGAGACCGCGCCCCTGGAGTCACAAAATACCGTGTAACACCGGATCTTCCAGGAGATCTGGGATGTCTGATTTTGTGAGCCGTCAGCCCCTTCCAATTCATTGGTGGTTTTTCAATTTTAAATTTTTTTTTAGAAGGGTTTTGTTCTAATTTATCTAGTATCAAGATTACGGTTAATAGAAGTGGCTGCAAATGTAACAGAATGAATGTAATCTGGTTCTGGTTCATTTAGGGGAAGTATTTTCGATGTTTCTACTCTGCCTAGGATGGCATTCCTGAGCTCCACTGCTCATAAACAGCATTTGATTTGGGAAACAGACCGGCTGGTTGCCTTCCTACACCCCGAACCCTGGACTCCAGGAGCTGCTGTCCTGACTCAGAGATCCCCCAACCGCCCCAGCAGCATTTTTCACTTGGCAGAGACGGAGTTTCTGTCTCTGCTGCTGGGTGCACGGACGGTGGCCGCCCTCCTTTGCGAGCGTCTTTCGGTGCAGCGCTGTGCGCTGGTGTTCAAACCCGAGCCGGAGCGGCCGGCTCACATCCGCGTGCTGCCCCTGCATGGGCTGGATCCCAGCTGGAGGCCCCACTTGGCCGAGGAGAAGGACTTCCAGCCTCACGATCCCGGTTACTGTACCTCCAAATGTGGGCCACGCTGGCAGGATGCAGAATTGGAGAAGATCCGGGGCAAAATTCGGGCCAAGCTCCCAACTCCCGACGCACCTCCAAACTACAGTTTCCTGGGCGATCCCTCTCACTGCGGCCTCTTCTCCCGCATTGTGCGCGGGGAGGAGCAGCAGTGGCGGGTCTGGGAGGATGAGGCCCATGTGGCCTTCCTCACACCTTTCCCCAGCGCGCCAGGCTTCACTGTCCTGGTGCCCCGCCGGCCGCTAACCAGCGACATCTTCCGCCTGGAGGAAGATGACTACAGGGCTTTGGTTCTGGCCGCACGCAAGGTGGCTCTGCTGCTCGAGGAGGGGTTGGGCGCCTGGGGGGTCGCGCTCATCTTTGAGGGCTTTGAGATTGATTATGCTCATGCCAAACTCATTCCCCTACTCACTCCACCTGACGGGTCCGTACCCAGATCTGCCCCCGAGTACTGCCCTACCTACCCCGGATATGTCACATCAGTTGATGGCCCTGTGGCCAGCATGGAGATCCTTAGAGATCTCCATCTAAAAATAACCCAGCCATAGCTGCAGATAATTCATTTTGAATTAAACAGTTTTGTTGTTATGATTGTCATGGGTAACCTAGAGCCTGTTCCGGCATACATAGAACACATGGGGCACAAGGCAGGCTGATTGGGAAGATTTATTAATAATAATAATATCTTATTATTATTGATGATCTTATCATTATAATATTTTTATAATACTTTCTACCCATGGTCTCAAAGTTGTATACACACCACTCACAAGAAAATCAACAGCAACCTCAAGAATGATATTTATTTGTTGTTTATGTTATATTTATTTGGGAGTTTGACTCCTGCACCAGTTCTCTCTAGATGGGGATGGTAATGTATTATGGTTGGAACTGGATACTGGTCCTCCAGGTTCCGGGTCGCCTACCCCAGCTGTAAGGTTTTCCATTTATATAATACTGTTGTTTTGGGTTTAATTGGAAATAATTTGCTTGATTGTGGAGCTGCTTAAAACCAAACATTACATTTGCAGAGGTCCACTCACTTTTGAAATAAATAGTATAATGTTCAGTTTTTTTTTTTTATTTTTATTTTTTTACCCTGAATCAATTAATCTAATTGCTTATTAAATTACTGGAGCTGTCTTCAGCTTGCTGCTCTGCCTACATTACGCGGGAATTATTTTCTTCTACCGCCCCCTAGTGGTGCAGCATGCATTGAAATTCTGTGAACTGCAGAATCTTTTGACGTTGCAATCCATTTGGCACTTGTATATTTTAGCACAGCATTGTTTACACTAACTGCTCCTGCACTATATTAATTAAGAGCAAAATATGTGTATTCTTGTTTCACAGATGGGTTATGGATTGAATGTATCCATTTTTGATTTTCTGGATGGAATTTTCTGCTAAATGAATAAAGTATGACCTTTGATTAATAGTAGATTATTCTGGCAGGTCTGGTCTGATTGCTGCTAAAATTTTGGCTAAAAACTAACTGACATTTTACTCTGTGGAAGAACACGTTGGTAATTCTTAGAAGGCAAGTCAAACAGTTTAATACCGTAAAGGAAAACATCATATTATTTCTATTAATAATGCATATTCAACTTCTAGAATAAAAGACACATGAGATATATTATCATTAATTTTTATTTGAGAATGTCGTACTGAAATCAGTGTCAAACCAGTAATGCATTCTTTCCAGAACTGCTTTTCACATTGAATTCACTATTATAATGAGCAAAATTATTTTAATTCAGAATTTTAGTTGCCCAGTTTTTCTGTTTGAACTACTTGAGTCAGTCAGTTAGGGGTTGATTCACATTTCACACAGTTCACAGTTCTAAATTACAAATATCTTTTAGATTCTGACACAGAAATAGTACATATTTTGCAATATGGTACATTAAATATCAATTTTACAGATAATTTTCTATAAGTGTCTGTTTACTTCAAATAAATAGTAAATTGACATACTGCTACTTTTATCACTTGTCTTAATATCTTTTAAAATTTACAAAAGCTAATTATACTAATCAGGATACCCAGGGACTGATTTGAGGCTCTGATAATTAACTAGGTACCGCCTCTGTGTTTGAGGGCAAGGTCCTGCAGCCCTGTTTAAGTCTTTTATTTTATTTTCAAGTAACACATTCATTAAAATACATATCATATTATGTATTACAATTTCAGAGAAATATCATTCTACTTCTGTACTAGTTCTGATGGACTGAATTATTAGACCATGAAAATTTATGTTTAAAAATTCTGAATCTGAAGAAAATATATATGTGAATTTTTTAATATATATATGTGTGTGTGTGTGTGTGTATATATATATATATATATATATATTAAGGAAAACAAGGTGTCATATTTCAGTAGTATGCTCTGCTTTAAAAGCAATTTCTCTAAATAAACACTTTATTTACAGAATTATTAATTATCAAGCTTACCCCATCTGTCCGAGAATCTGAACATTCCAGCTCTGCTGACTCCTAATTAATCCCACAGGGTCTCAACTGCCGGCCCTAATTAGCTATCTGTTAACATCTTAATTATTATGTGGGAAATTACTCCTGGGATGAAAAAATCTGAAAACTTGATGGCTCCTGTGGATAATGTGGGATAAACAAGTTCCTAAGAAGGGAGAAATGAACAAGATTCAATCCTTACCATCAAAATGAAGCTTTAGTCTTCCAGCTAACCAAAGCTAATGCTACATATATATATATATATATATATATATATAATTGTTCATCTTATAAATATATGTATGTATGAGTAATCATGCAATAATGAGAGCAGAATATGGATATGGAAGAGATCATGATAAGCTTCCTTCAGCAAAAGGCTGTACAGGAATTGACCCGCTGGGTCTCAGCTGAATCAGGCAGTACTATTAACAGGAATCTTACTTGTACTGGACAGGACGTGCCTGGTTGAGTCTTGGCTGGATCAGGAAGTAACGTGAACGGGATTCTTGCTTAGACTTTGGCAGCATGTACAGCCACGGATGTCCAAAAACGTCATCTTGGATATGTACAGCAGAGGCTCGATGCTGCAACTAAGGTCCATGATGGCGAAGACGACGACGCTGATCTTGCAGTTGAAAGCAACAAAGCTGTAGAACCTCGAGAAGGGGAAGAGCGCCACAGGGGGCAGGTAGAGGGCCACGATGATGGCCAGGGCGATCATCACCATCCTGAACGCTCTCTTCTTCGTCGGGTGCATCTCCTCTTTTCCAATCACTGAGCGCCTCAGGACCCAAATGATCGAGATGTTGCAGAAGACCATGATGCTGAAAGCCGACAGGATCAGTCCGGCAAAGACTTCATTGATGGTATTGTCGTTCACGATGGACTTTGACAAGGCATAGGCGAGGATTAGGGTCCATACAAATGAAGACAAAGCTATTCTGATTCTGTTGTCCTTGACTCTACTGAAGACGATCGGATGGACCACAGCTACGTAGCGGTCCAAGCAGACACACGTGAGGAAGAGAGGAGTGACATCCTTGATCCCGTACGCTAATCGTTGGAAGTACCAGATCCGGTCATCACCCAGTAGGAGACGGTTCACCAGCTCGATGGGAGTCACTAAGCTAAAAAAGGCATCAAGAAGCGCCATGTTGAAGATGAAGATGTCGGAGGTGGACGGGTCAGCCCTCTTCTTGGTCACATGCCACATGACCATCACATTTGCGGGGATTCCCACTACCATGTTCAACACCTTAACAAAAAAATAGAACACAAAACCGTAAGGCTCTGATTTGCACACATCGAACTGGTACCAGAGTATGGGTCCAGAACCCAGAGTTGTGCTGTTGGCTGGATGACTGTCGTTGACAGGGATGTTCATTCTTACACAACGTGCTGTGATCTTGAAGAAGGATCCTTGAAAATAGAGAGAGATGTTACAACTTCCAGCTCATTCTTCACTCTGCGTATAACCATAATTACATATAAACAATTTACAGGAAGATGAACACTTTGTTTTGTTTCACACCACATTAAATTTCATAATGTAATCAAAACAGAAAACAGTAAAACTATGGTATTGTTCTTACTGTTTCATTCTCTTATTTTCATAATTTACCGTAACTCTACAGCAACATCTCCAGAGATGATTTCATCAAAACTTTCTCATACAATCATTGTTCAGTAACTGACATACAGTACTTATAACCATATTAAGCATGCTGAACTGTGCTGGTATATTTATTAAAATACTCTAAATAAATGCCTTACCTGAAAGACAGGAATGTCTTTCATCAGAGTTTCCGCTAACACTCTTGGCACGCTTGTAGTCCTTTTCTTAGTATAGTGCAAGTTCACATGGGCTGAAAATATATAAACATACTCTTGGGAGAACAGTGGAAAAAATATTTTTAACAGCAACCAACCAGATTAATAGTGAAATGGTGCAAAGTTTCCTCTCTTTGAGGGTGCTGATGTAATCCCCCTTGTACTCGATCAGCATTGGTCGATATTTCTGGTGTCTATGTGTGTGAGAGTGTGGGGCGTGGACCAAAGCTGCCTGTTTATCACCCACTTTTGTGGTAGGGCCAAGCAAGGGCAGGGGTGGTTGGGGTGACAGAGCAGATACCCCCATCGCATCACTGCTTGCTGTTGTTCACTGATGCAACTGAAGCACTGAGCACAATGTGCGGGCAAAACAAGTGATGCAACTCAATATGGATGCTCAGGTGAGATATTTGGTGTAACATGTCGTAACGTGTTACATGTGCATGACATGGAGGTGTGACACAGTAGGTGCACTTGGGACTGGCTTATCAGGTGGACTGTAAGAAAAGCACCTTTTGGGACACCCAATCGTAACATGTCATGCAATGAATCGCTCATTATCTTTGACTTAAGTGGGCTGAGCATTGCTTGGGATGAACTGCGAAGCCCACAGACAGGGTGAGTTAGGGGACGACATGGATTTCCATTGAGTTCTCCATCACTGCCTAGATATGTATTATTATATAGTTATTGTTAGTTAGATAGTTGCTATTGTCGTGATCAGGGTGGCTGAATGAACGAATGAATGGTGACAGAAAGGATCCTCTGTCTGCCCAGAGGTCTCCTCAGCAGAAGCATGCCCCTCCCTCCCCCGTTGCAAAAAAAATATCTTCTGTATTCTGCCTTCACCTAATAGCCTCAGCCCCAGCTGTGCTGAGGAAGACTGTCGATGCATGCGAGAATGCCGTGGCGTGTTTTCGAGAAGAAACAGCCCATTTGGGGAAACCAGGCAGAGTATGGAACGCAAAGCTCACGTGAACAGTAGGGCGAGAGAGTTTATGAAGTCTGAAGTTATTAATAAACATAAATGAAGCGAAAAGCAAAGTGACCCAAGAAGAATGTCAAACACAAATACACAGGAACTGTAGAACACAAAAAGGTTAAATTGGATTAAAAACAGTGTCAGTCGTGTAATCATAATATTTGTCTGCACTCACAGTCCATCCTGCCCACAGTCTTAGTAATAAATTAAAACATTTGTACAGCACTGTCATCTCAGCAAATAAGACATTAATCTCAGCATACAACAAAGCATGACCTAATGACTGCAACCACTGCCAGATGTTTCAATGCTGTGTTTGTCTAACTCGTCACCATGGAAACTGAATCGCCATTCAGCTCATTTAAGTGGTGAAGTAAATCGATATGCCTCTCAGGCCTGTGTTTCTGCTTGATTTTCTTTGGCGTGTATATCACAGTGAACAGTTTCTCTTGAGCGATTTCCGGATGCTGGAGAAGACACATTAACAAGAGAACAGCACATATCATCTGCTTTACATTACCATTCAGCAATATGCTGAGTAATATCTACCACTACTTGATAGCATGCGCTGCGGATGTCGGTATTGATTGCAATGTATGAGTTACAAAGGACTGCATTTGCCTATGATATTTTGCACAGGCTTGCATGCTTTCTGCGATATGCTCCAGGCTTGCAGAAACCATCGACTGGATACATGGTATGAATTCTGGGCACTGCTTAGCCTGTAACACATCACAAATATATATTTTATATATATTTTACTATTTTGTCTCCAATTCTGGTTCACGATGCTCCTCAGGATGTGAAGTCTTACGCATTTAGGGGTGAAATGATTCCGCTTCTGGGACCCCAGAGCAAAAGCTCCACCCAGCAAGAACAGGAGATTATGCATCGGTGGGTGATTATTGAACAGGTCTCCCTTACATGGACCATCTGCTTCCAGACTCACCAGGGCCCTCTGCTGGATATGCGGTTATGAATAAATGGGTCATTATTGAGCAGTGTGTCTCCTTACTGAATGCAGGGCATATGTTGCACAAAATGATGAAATACAGAATTTAAAGGCAATTTGGAAACACCAGCCACAACATGTCTTTGAATCATAACAGGAAACCTAAATACAGCCATACTGACAAACAGGGGCATGCAGCTCCCCACACAGGGTGGGAACTGAACCCACTGAACACTAACACTGCCCTGTTAAAAGATTTAAAGATATACCAGTTAACTGACCCTATTTGAATCCCACCTCTGGTCTATGAAAGTGATTAGTTGCCATTGCTGCCACATATCACAGGCCACAACAATGAAATGTGTCCCATGCAATTAACAGATATGTGACGTCATGACAGAGCAGGGGGCAGCAGTACTCAGTGGTACTTTGCTGAGTAGGGTGCTTCCCTAAGCATTAGGCCACTACTGCTCCGGTAGCATAATTACCAGGAGTGGGACTTGAACCCACGCAGACTCACGTCTATTGGATTTTAAGTCCAACCCCTTAATCACTCGGCCATCCTGGTCACAATAAGGTGCGTCTGTGTCACTTAGCTTTCCTTTTGGAATCTAAAGACATGCAGTTTACTGGCGTCGCTATATGTGCCCATAGCGTTAATGCAATATGTTTGCGATCCCGCTGATAGACCTGGACCTTACGTCATATGCTACCGGACTCCTCACTATCCGCTCGTTTATGTTTACGGGTGCAACGTCATGTAACTGTTCTTCCATTATCTGATTTTTGCATTTAATTGTATCCTGTATGTGATTCTTTACAGTCTTTAAAAAAAATCTTGACTTCTCACTATAAAATACCCCTCTGGCAGCTTCCAACCTAAACCAATAGTAAAGCTTCATACGGGAGTTTTTGAATTCCAACCAATCAGACCATTGCTTTTGTTAAAAAAAACACAGAGGGCATCCAATTAGCGCACAGTAGTAGTTTTTCAAAACGACGCCCGCCATTTTAATGTTGTTGTAGTTAGTAGTCGGATCGAAATAGTATAGTGAGTTTACTTCTTTTCTTTCTTTTTTTTTTAAACTCGGATATACCACCTGTAGCAGGTAAGCTTAATTTATTACGTATCTCAGTTTGGCAGATTTTCGATGAATAATCAGTTTTGCCGTGACTTTGGGCTTTTTCCAATGTATCCAGGCACTAGGTGTAACCGTGTTGACAATCTAGCGTCTTTTTAGCATTTCTTGTCGTTTAATTACTGCTGAGGATTTATTGTGTGTCAGTTATATTGCGGTCTAGATTCTGTTTGTTATAAGCAACTGTCCTGTTTTAAGGGGATCCCGAGTAACTCAGCGATCGGAGTGTTTTGTGTTCACGCATGGATGTGTAGCGATTGATCTATATTTTACACCTTTCTGAAGGGTTTTGGGACCTTGATTCCGAACTGGGGAAATGCACTGTTGGAGCACAGTTATAGCCACTGTCCCTGCTGGAATCTTCGCGTTAAACGTCGTTTGAAATGGTGCTCAGGATACCAAACAGTCTGGGTGTCGGGCTTAGGTTAACCGTAACCTGACAGGGATGGGTGACAGATTCCCAAACCGGGACGCTTATGTAGCATGTGTCTGCTACACAGACATACACACACATTATTATATGTCAGTTATTTCTCTGGACACCTGAGCAATAGTCTAAAATCCAGACTGTCCGTGTCAAACCAGGAAGGCTGGTCACCCTACACAGGGGGCCATGTTACTCTTTTGTATAGGGTTTGGACCTGATACTGACCCGGCTACTTGTGTGGGCTGTGGTCCTAGTTTCCCCATGAGACCGAACCTGGGTGATGGATGAAGCCGAGATGGGTTGATGAGGCAGGGGTCCCGTAAGCCGTGTTAATAGACCGCTTGGGTTTCGCTTTACTGCATGGTCTGAGGCAATTCACGACACACATGCTTGTATGTAGTGTATGTTTGTATATGCGATCGATAAAGTTGAAGTGTGAATTCTTTCCCCGAACCATCATGTCCACCAGGAATGGAGTCTCGCTTCTCATACCTGCGCCAGCCGGACAGCAGCGTCTCCATGCTGCGCGTCAAGATGTCCCGGCGTCGCTCGCAGTCCCAGAAGGAGAACCGAGACCGGGCCTTGACCCGGCTGCGACGCCTCGACAAGCTGCCGGAGATGGACGCATCTGCCCTGGACGTGTCGGCCGTTGGTCAGGTGGCGGTGTGTCGCCAGGAGACGGTGCCCACAAAAAAACAAGGCAGAGGTGAACTTGCCTCGCCTGGCGTTGTTTGACTAATTTGTTTGATCTTGGAATGGGGTTAAGATACCTGGGACTGGTTTAAAATGTAAGGATTGTATATGAAATGACTTATTTTGTCAAAGCCATGTATGTTTCAACTTCTTTATCTCACAGCCTGAGTCGTTCAAGACTCTTAGAGTGCAAAATATGACCGTCTAAAACTAAATATGTAATCAGAGGCTTATAAAATGTAACGGATGTTTAAAGCGTATGTGGTGTGGACATGCATGGGAATGTAGGGCATCAGACGCTGTCTGTTATGTTTCTGATGGTCTGGTTTTTGTATATGTATGTATTATGCAGGTTTCTGTTCTGCTTTGCCAATCAAAGCAACAAGGAACATTAGAACTCATTAACTGGGATTCAGAAAACCTGTTCACCCTGTGTTGTGCTGGGACCATCGTGAGAAATACCCCATGCCTGTCTGTCGCTCATGCTGCTCAGATCCAAATGCTGCCGCGGAGGAGAGGATGAAGATGCTGAGCCGCTACAAGGAGGCCAAGGAGCTACAGAAGGAGAAGGAGAAGAGAGAGCGGGAGAGGAAGGGCGGGGTGTTTAAGGTGGGCCTGTATAAGCCCCAGCCCCTGGCCCCTCTCTCCCAGGTGTCCGGCGCTCCGAGCAGGGCCAAGGTGAGTCACGGTGTCCGGCTTTTCCCAAATACACACTTGGAGTTTGGCTCTCTGTTCAGACTATTGCAGAATATCAACTTTGGTGGTATCAGACACAGGTGTTCATTGTTTTATTGTTTGTATGATTATAGAGGTTATAATCAATGGCGAAATGTTCCTCCTTGCTTTTTACAGTATAAATTAAACTCCTGAAGTCAGTTCATGAACTGGTGTTTTGTCTTGTGTTTCTGAAGAGTGCTACAAAAAATTTCCATATTAGAGAAACCTTATTTCCAGACTCTCTCTCTGGTAGCCTCTGGTGCCAGCTTCGGCGCCGGCTCCGTCCGGCCGTGTGACGCGCTCCATGAAGCAGCAGCCACTTCAGAAGGTGCTTCAACACTGTCTCAAACTTTGCTGCTTTTCTTCTCAGCCATTTTTCTAATATCGGTCACATTTAGTATCACTGTCACCAGAAATGTTCCTGCCCATATCTGTTATTGGCTGTATGAGGGCCTTCACCTTCTGGCTTGGTATGATTTAAATGAATTAATTCTCTTTTCTAACTGCTCAGATTGCTTTGCCTGTACCGCAGAAAGCTGTACCTAGAAAAGGTTTGTGCACCTGCCTGTATTCAGGTTTCTTTCTCTCATTTAGTACTTGATATAAGCTGCTTCACACACATCTTTACCACTGTGTCTCTCCTCCCTATTTAAAGTGGAACCAGCTGTAGTCAAGGCACCAGCGAGTAGAGTAAACAAACCCACAGCGCCCTCATCAGGAAGAGGCAAAGCGACTGCAGGTAACATGGAACCCTGCTCCTGAAACATCTGATTTTCCATATTCTGTTGATGTAGACATTGTATCCCCTTGTATTTGCAGTGGAGGCCGCTGTTAGAACCCCAGCAACCAGATCTGCCGGTGATTCACAGACCTCTACCCAAGCAGCTCTGCAGAAACCAGGTGTGAGAATGCAGGTCTTTGTTCAGCAGAGGTGACCTGGATGTGTTCGTTTAAGTCATTCAGATTAAAACCTTGGTGTTAGCAGAAGGTGGTGATGTGGTCAGGAAGGTCTGCTGTGGACAGTAGAAGATCAAAGTCAGTGTTAATTGAACTGTGTCTAAGGGTGCAACTGTCATACTTTTCTCTCCCCAAAAGCTGGCCGTACAACCAGAGCTTCCAGTAAGCAGCACGTGGAGCCCCCTAAAGGCAGAGCCAAGCCAGTGCAAAGTATGACATCCTTACTTTACCAACCATCCACTTATCCTTCGTCCTCAAGTGTTTATTTTCCTGTCGTCTTTTACAGTATTTTTATATTGCCTCTAAATTAAAGTAGACCTAAGCTTTACTGGACTGATCATGCCACATGACTTTTTTTTTTTCTTCTTACCAGGCAAAACTAAGATGCCCCCCAAAGAACAGAAGGTGAGTTTTCATCTTTATATTCACCGGGCTTCTCAAAACGGTGAGGTGAATGGAAACTGTCATTACCCACGGTGACGTCTCACATTTACCCATTTAATTTAAGCAGGCAGATGCTTTGTACAGGTGCATCAAAATATTGCATTTCCCACACCGGGAGTCGAACCCGGGCCGCCTGGGTGAAAACCAGGAATCCTAACCGCTAGACCATGTGGGACATGTACAGTTTGAATATTTAACGTTCTTCTGTTTCAGGCTGCTGTTCAAGATGAGAGAGAGGAATCAGAGGCTGCTCCCTCCCACCCCCCCGCAGGACCGGCGCGGGGTGCCAGGGCTGACGTACCTCCCGACCCCCCTTCTTTTGCACCCCAGGGCTTTGTGTTCCATGCGCCGGCTGGTCTGAAGCCCTTCCAGTGCGCCCCCCTCACTCCACGCTCTGCCGATGCCTTTCTCACCCCAAGGTACCCTGCAGCGCTGCGTTTCAAGTGCTCCTGCTTAGAAACCAGTCTCTACAAGGGTATAAGAATAAATACTGTTAGAGTCTTTTGAATTTGCTCTCTGATAAACACTCATCACTGTCCTACACTGTCTACAGCGCTGCCTCCCCGAAACTCTCCTTTCTCTCCCCTGTGGTTTCCCGGCCCTCCATACAGCCGGCTTCTCCCCCACCTCTGCGTCGGACCCCGTCGCCCCCTGCAGGTCCGCAGGAAGCACAGCACGACGTTCCCTATTTCAGGTGAGGTCTCGCGCATTGCATTCTGTTCCTTGATAACACAGTCGCCTAAATATTTGCTGTTCAACCTCTGAATCTGTTTACCTACTGAGTGCATTATCGGCTTAAAATCTTCAGTAGACGAGTATTGAAGGCTTACAGTCTTTCGGGGGTGTCTGTGGCCCCCAGACATGCTATCTCGAGTGCACTTGGGGTGTCCTCTCTGATGTGGTGCCCCACCTCCTGCAGGGCAGTAATGGCGAGTGAGACTGAGCGGCTCAGCGGGCTCTGTGAGCAGTGGGAGGTCCGAACCGAGGACTCCTCCATTCCGGAGGAAAGTGAGTATCTCCTGCTAGGCAGAACTGAGGCAGGGCTTAAAGTATTCGTTGTCGGAGAAAAAAAAATGGAGCGCAAGTTTATGAAGCCTGGGGATGATGTACCAGCAGTAGATAAAGGACTCAAAAATAAATGGCGCTGGGTGTGGATTGAAGAAAGTAGAGATGGCGAGCCTTTTGGCAGTTGGTGCAAGAAACTGAGAGAGCCGGGGGGCTTGTTTCTGCACGACTTGCTCGAGGAAGCTACTGTATGCCAGCAGCGCTAAGAAAGTGCTTGCTTGTGCACTCAAACTTACCACGACGTTGCCGGGAGCAACTGTTACAGCTGACACACCGTTGTCTATGACTGACCGTGTCTGCGATTTAAAAATACGTTTGTGCACATTTATAGCAGAACATGATTTGGCATTCAGAATTTCGCATCCACTGGTCACCCTGTGTAAAAAACTGGCAGAAGACAAAAAAGCGTTAACTAGCCTGTCGGTTTCAAATCAACATGCGAGTTACATGAACACTCATGGAATTGCATTACAGTTCAAAAAATGTTTGTCTGAGAAGCTAAAAAAAAATTCTGTGTTCTCACTCAATGTTGATGAAGCATTGAATAAGTGATAATAAGTGAATAAGTGATAATGGCCTTGATTTCCCTTCTAATCTTCAGTTTAGCAGTTCAGTTCTTTAGGACTTTGAGCACTTGTTATTTAAGCACTTTAAGCACTTTAAGCACTTTAAGCACTTGCTATTGTTTAGCAGTTTTTTTTTTTTACTTTATTTTTGTCATTATTGTCAATATTTGAAGTAAGTCCTTCAAATACAAAAGTCCCCCCCAAAAAAAGTTCAGGCTCAGGATTTTTCTTTTACTTTAACCCCTGCTGAGGGATGCCGCTCCAGTGAGGGTGGCTTGCTGTCTGGCGCCAAGTTACCCTCTTCAGGGTCTGTCTCTCAGAAGCTCTGTTGTGAAACCCTCCTCCAAATGTTGCACAGGTGATCCGTGTAATAGGTAACAAGATGCTCATAAATGTCCAGGTGCTTAATTACATTAATTAGTGATGAAATTAATCCGAAGCACTGAAGTTCTTTATTTCTCGTGATGTTTGCTTACCATCCCGGTTAACAGTGATTTAGCTTCACTTCTCAGGCAAGGGCTCAGTTTAGTTTGATACCATCCAGGATTGACGTTCAGCTGAATGACTTATTGAATCCCTCAGTCAGGGATGGTATGCGCACGGCCATTGGCCAGGCCCGCCTGCTGATGAAGGAGCGCTTTAGCCAGTTCGAAGGCCTGGTGGACGACTGCGCCCTGGGGCGCGGGGAGAAGATCACCACCTGCAGCGATTTGCAGGGCTTCTGGGACATGGTGTACTTCCAGGTGCGTGAGCCAGCCGCCGTCCCGGCTCGCTGGCAGCCGCCATAAGATCTGCAGCACGTCCTTGAGACAGAGATTCTTGGCTCAGGTGGAGGATGTGATGAAGAAGTTTGACGGTCTGAAAGCAGCAGAGTGCAGAGGATGGCAAGACGAACCCAAGCTTCGGCCCCGTACGAAGCGGGCCGTCAAGGTGCGTGAGATTTCCACATGTCCAGGACACGAGCTTCCTGTCATCATGAGTCCAGGAGTCCTTATTTACCTCAAACCGTTACCATCCAACATTCTTCAAAGTCTCTGCATCCATTTCTTATGTATAGGAATTAGTTTTTATCGTGTCATCGTTATTGTGTGTACATTTCTCAACCTATGACAGGTTTAAATGACATATAGTAGGAGGGAAAGAGGGGGTTTGAGTGTCTTGGCGTGTTTCTGTGCAGAAGGTGGCCCAGGCAGCTCCAGCTAGCAAGAGCGCGGGGGAGAGTGGGGGGAGCGCCGTGGGGGCGAGCGCCGCGGCCAAGAGCCGGCTGGCGGCGGTCAAGGCCGCCATGAGGGCCAGGCGGGCAGCTGCGGGCGAATGTGCCGAGCCTGTGGCCGACGCCCCTGCGGACGCGGCGGCGCCCCCAGAGCCCCCCGCCCCGGCCGTGGTATTCCACGGGGGCTTTTTCAAGGTGGAGAGCCCAGCCAAACTGCCGGGTGAGTTTCTGCGCTCTCTGCACGTTGTTTCGGTAACTTTCAAAGCTTCCACGACTCAGTCTTCCACGGTGTTTCCGTGTCTGTAGGTCTTTTAAGAAGATCGGCTCGGCTCAGCGCGGCTGCCTCTCCCGCTTCCGCGTTCACGACTCCGGCGAGGCCTCGGCGCTCTGACGCGGTCAAGCCTTCCCCTGTTTGCCAGAGGCTCCACACCCTAACCCCCCCACGTCGCACCCCTCATTCCCTCTCCCAGTCCACCCTCCCTCAGGATGACGCACAAGCCGATTCCCCTAGCGCCTTCCGTTCGCCCTCAGGTCATGTGACTCAGGACGGTTCCCTTCCGAATGGCTGCCCTGCATTTCAGGTAGCCAGCGACAGTAAGCGGCCCAGTTTATCTGATGACCATTCGGAGCCCGATCTGGCCAGTGCCCCTTTGCAGTGCCCCAGACTGGGCAGCCCTCTCCCCGCAGAATCGCAAACGGACGTTGAGCCACCACAAGTGGAAGAGGGTCAGGGTCTCGTGGCAGAGACAGAGACGGGTGGTCAGGCTGACTTGGCTGCAGAGGTGGAATGTCCTTCGGGTGACCTGTCAACCAAAAATTTGGAACAAAATTCAAGCTTTCTTCACTCACCCTCTCGTAGCGCGAATTCCTCCCTGGCCAGTGCCCATGGGCTTAGTTTTACCCTGTCCCCCACCCCATATGAAAGTGCCCCAATAGATGCTGGGCTCACTGCCCTCAGTGAGTTGTCCCAAAGTGCCCCCCAGCCTACCCCCTGTGCCGCCCCTGATTCCACACAGAGCCCCACTGCAGACGTGGACATGAGTTCAACCCCAGACTCCTCCTACGTTGAGGTAAGTTGCCTGACATTGTCATTTCTTCCTCCACTATACCCATCATGCTCCTGTCCACAGGAGGATGACTGTCGGCTCATTGGGTGTAGGCAGCGGCACCCTTTCCGTCCCCCTCCACCTTCCCCCCCCTCCCCCGCCTCTGTACCCTGGGGTTGCACACGTAACAGCGCCCCCCTGTCTGTGGGCATGTCAGTACCTCACAGGCCTGGACTTCGAGCGCTACCTGCGGCCCCCGATAAGGAGCAGCCTCTCGCCTTGGCGGCCGGCCTCCGCGGAAGCATCGCCGATGGCTGTCGACGTGAACGCTGACAGCCCCGGGCCCCAGCCGGGAGAGTGGCCTGTGGGGGGCGCTCTAAATCACATGGGTGAGGGTCATTCGTCCTGTCCCCACGCCAGGTGCTCACTCAGTTTCTGGCAGATTGTCATTTAGCTATATATATTTATTGGCACTGGAAAATATACACAGGAAAAGTAACTGGTCCAGTTGAGAAATTGAATACAGCCTGCTGGGAACTGAGTCTGAGACCCCGATCTGTGCAGTTGCAGCAGGGACAGGGCTAATACCACAGTCACTGTGGGGGGTGAACTGGGTCGCTCGGCCTGTTTGGAGTTCAGAGTCCAATCGGCAGCGGCCACATGCTAAGGCTGTGACCCCTTTGATCCATCAGGTCCAACCAGGGAGCTGAGGGCACTGGAGCCGGCGGAGGTAGGCGTGGCCCATCGCCGTCACTGCGTCCAGCTGGCAGTGCTGCTCCGCGTCACCCCCACCCCTCTCTCCCCACAGCTGCCAGGTTCCAGTTTGCTGCTTTTCACCCCGGAGCAGAAGGTGAAGGTCCGCCAGTCAGTGTGTGGGAGGGACCTCATGATGTTCACCCCTCCCTCCAGCAGCTGAACAGAAGCGTGCAGCCTTCCTTTTGGCTCGGTGAAGGAGACCTTCAATAAAACGTTGTACCTTGTGGTCTCTTCTGCTCGTTCTTGCTTCATGCACAATGTACCCTCACCGAATGCCCTGCTTTGCATTTTGAATAGTGAGATATATATATTGTATTAGTTTTGGTGTTTGCTGGTTCTTTAGGATGCAGTGTGTAGTTTCCCCACTGCCTTGTACTTCACCTTTGACTCAAACATAAAACTTTACCGTTTTTTCATGGATTAAGCAAGTAGCTGAATTAATAAATGGTCCAACATTTAACTGAGTGGATCGACCTTTTTACCTTGTAAAACTAGTCAATGCTGCGAATTATGCTTTGATGTGGTCATGTTCAGCGATGACGTAAGGAGATTTTGCATATTTGATTAATTGTATTTTTTTCCTGTATTTTCTAATATAAATAAATGTATCAATTAGTGTTTTCTTTGGAAGCTACTATTGACAAGCATTTGTGTGGGAGTTTCTGAAGGGAATCCCCGTGGGCCTTCCCGTCACCAGAGGTACCAACACTATGCTACTTTTTTTTTAGGTTACATTTTTTAAAATTATGACTAAGAATTAAGATCGTTCTATTAAACAAATTAATGGGCATACTGGGCTGTGACCCAGGTAAACCTACATCACCCAGCAGGCAGGAAGCAGCGGCATACTCTGCCTGAAGCGTCGATCATCTCACCGATCGCCGTAAGCGGATGACTTGCTGTCAGCAGGGTTTTATGAACCGGCAGCTTCCAGGACGGTTTCGGAATTTTGCTTCATCTGCATCAGTTATCGGAGCCGCAATGCAGCTGCTTACAGTGATCAGACACTGCGTGTAGCTGCCAGGTGTGTAGACAGCCTATAGCTGTTCATGCACTGCTTGTGTGACACAGGTTATCTTTTGGTGCTTTTCTTTGCTGTAGTGCTGATTTCCGGCTCCACACAAGAGAAAAGGCCCAGAATGAGCATTTTAAGACAAACACCTTATCTGACTATACCGCTGAAATGCACACTTTAATTGAAGAATGGCGAAGGATCCGGAGCACAAGGAATTAACACCAGGGATAAATTATCATACAATAAAAAGAAAAGATTGCATCACATTTGCCCCCAGCATACAGGGGTACAAAAACATCTGGGAATTGATTCATCATTCCATGGTAAACGGTTTGTCGTCCCCCCCCAAATTGAGGCTCTCAGGACAATCATTCTTAAAGGTTAATCAAAAACAATCTTTTTATTTACTTTAGACACAATGAGACAATTTGTCCTCTTGGCTTACATAACTTAAATATACAACAAAGCAATGATAATAATGAGAAGATGAATTACCAGTGAAACGTACCATAGATCACACTTGTGACTAAAGGGATAAGCACTTATGATTGACCCCCCCGTAAAGTTAAGGCGACGAGTCGACACCCTGATCCTGCACAGTGCAATGGGGGCTGCAATCTAACAGAATAACAGAGGTTACTACAGGAAATACATGGCATCAATTAAAGCTTTCTTAGACATCTGTTTTCCCAATTTGCAAACAAAATATTTTAAGGGGAACAAAAGTGCAATTTCAGAATAGTCACCATATGTGCAGTACAGTGCAAAAGTTTCAGGCAGTCAAAAATGTTTGAAGTTATTTACATGGGTAGTAAGTGTGTATTTTCTCAGAAGAAAAACACCAACATTAGAACAGACACAAATTAATAACACAATAAAAACTAAGAATTTCTTCTCTGCTCCAAACAGTTACTGATATCTAGTTGGATGGCTAGATAAACACCGCTTCAGTTCCCAAACCTCTCCTCAGGGGCACCTCAGTCATCCCATGTGGTTGTTAAATTTCACCCCCACCTCAGCTTATCAATTTTATTAGTTATTGGTTGGTACAGCTACCAGAGTCAAAAATACATGGTATATAAAATAAAGATGTAATGGATGGTCACTGGAAGTACTGGGGTGACTTTAGGAAAGGTTTTGAAATGGCTTAGCTGACACACTTCAACAGACATAAATTCATAGTTTTACACCAAGATAAAGATCTAAAAATCATTTCCTTTTACTGCCTAAGACTTTTACACAATCCTGTATATTCCTCTTGACAAACAGACTCCTGTGGCACGTTTACTGTTTGGAGGAGGTAGAGCAGAATCGGGTCAAACACACAGCCCTATAGAAGCAAGTGTGTCACTGCTATGCTGGACATACACAACATACACGGTAGACTACAAACTTCTCGAGTCATAAGACAGAGAAAGTCAGAAAAAAGGGACACTGGAAATGCTTCCTTTAAGAGAATGACACCGACATGTCCGTCCCAACAGGAAATTTCTGGGCCATCTCTCAGAGGCGCCCCGGATGGAGCTCATCAGCCTGGAGGGTGATGGGACCGCACGTCCAGAGCACACCAGAATCCCCCACCTGCGTTCTCCCTAGTTTAGGACAAAACACGCTACCTGCTCGCAACGTTTGAGCCAAGCCGCCCTGAATGACGGTGGCTGACGGGACAGGGTGTACGAGCTCATCCGACCAGAATCAGACCGTTAGTCGAAAACAGGCGTCGATTTCAAAAGACCATCTTCCCTCCCCTTACAGGATTAAGGGGGCCTGGAGCTTATCCCAGGCTGCACAGGGTAGAATAGGTAAACTTTCTAACTGTTCCACCTTCTAAGAGGTCTGGACTACTGTAATACTGAATTTACACTTCAAGGCAAAAGAGTGACTTAATAGATCAGTGAGAGACAGTCTTTGCGAGAAACAGATGAGAAACAAAAAAAGAATAACGCTTTTAAATAAAACATCCTTCCACGCTTTAAAATGACTAGTAGCCCTTTGTCATTAATAAGTATATACAAACACAGACTGAAAATATACAGCAAGTGCAACAAATGGATTGACTCCAAAATGACACATTAAAGGAAATATTTTCTCATATAGTGCAACATGCCAAACATTTAATTGCATTATTTTAACTTGTACGTGTGGATTGTACGTGTATTTGATCCTCATTCCGTTTGTCTCCGAGTGGATGTGTCTGCTTGAGTTTTATTGTGCTCCTTCAATGTCCAGCATGACAGAGCGGAATATCAGGCCTTATTTTTTGCAAAGTCAGCTCACGGACAGGTGTCCGGTGTCGAGATCCAAGCCCAAAATCCTGCTGATGGAGGTGTTTAGCACAGCTAAGCTCGGACGCCCCCTGCAAGCTTTTACAGAAACCATACCACGCCCTTTTTTGCATAGAGAAATGGTGACTCGATTGTGGATCTCTCCAACCTTGCCCCAGGGCTTGAGGCATGCCCTTTTCAGGTGGGGGGGGGGGCACTTCATTTGCTAGGGTGCTTTCCGTGTACCCTGAAGCGGTACACGCACGTGTACTCGGGGTGACCCCAGTTAGTGAGAATGCGCAACTCGACCATGCGGTACACCTTCTCCACGGGCTTCTGGAAAAGACACAGAGAATACAGATTATGCACACCTGCAAGAAACGGGGGAGACACACTGACACTGCACATTTTGGATTCGATCGCCAGCTGTTACGAGCCACTGACCGGCAGTTTGAACGTCTGGATGGGTTCTCCGTCCTGGTCGTACGTGAACTTTCCCAGGAGAGTGCCCTCCTCAGTCTCACTTGTTATTCCCTGTTCGGGAGGGGGGGGGGGAAAGATTCCGCAAATGTAGAAGCAGCGTTTTCAAGGCATCACCTGTGGGGGGCGCTCATTCCAGTTACTCACGTAGACAGAGAAATCGCGGGGGGCGCTGTCAATGTGGCCGGTCGGGGACAGGACTTTGGGCAGGTGCTCCAGGGTGACGTGGGTAATGTGGACAGGGTACGACAGGGCGATGACCAGGAAGCCTTCACTCCCCTGGAAGGCCCAGCACTTCCCGGGATAGAGGTCCGGCTGCAGGAGAACAAGAGAAAGAGAAATGCAACACAAAGCTGTGAATTCAACAGTCGTGGAGTTTATTGCTACTAAATTTTTATATTTTACATATACACATATATAAAAAACACTGGCTTTGTATCCAAGGCGATGCTGGAATCGTCAGGACAATCTGACCCATAGTCTGAGCCAGAGAAAGACAGGCAGATGGACAGAGACAGGCAGACGGACGGACAGAGAGACATGCAGACGGACGGACGGACAGAGACAGGAAGACGGACACACAGACAGAGACAGGCAGACGGGCAAACGGACAGACAGAGACAGACAGACAGAGACAGACGGACGGACAGACAGAGACAGACAGACAGAGGCAGACAGACAGAGACAGACGGACAGACGGACGGACAGATGGGACAGATGTGGGGGTGCTTGACGGTCAGGGCTTCAGCCGGACCTGGATGACGGTGCGCGGACTTTCCGAGTGGTACCACAGCGGCACGCCGAAGAGGCTGACGCAGGCCGTCCTGGTGTGGTAGGTGGCTGAGCAGCGAGTGTTCAGCACACTGGCTCCTGCAGATAGACGAGCAGTGAGACCAGCATCTGCCACATGGCTGGAAGGAGCCAAGCTCTTAAAAGCCCGAAACTCCGCTTAATGCCTGGGAATCTAGCACCTTAAATGGCGGGAAGAAAAGCTATTCAACCCCCTAATAACTCATTGTGATCATAATAATGTGGAATAAATTAATATCCTAAAGAAATAAGAGGACAGAAACAATAAGATTATTTCTGCTATTAAGGCTACATAAAGTATAAAATAATATGCACATAAAGATGTACAATTAAGCAAGTGTTTATCTTGGTCAGATAGAATCTCATTAAAGGCTATGCCTAAACTAGACAAATTATTCAATACAAATCCACTCACTTAACAGTTAATCCTCCCCTTAACCATGAGATTAAACATAACGGAGCTTTAAATTGTTTCAGATCTTCACATATTTGCGACTTCCTTACAACTATCTGTATCCAAGACACTTCTCAGATCCTGGTGGACAGACCTTGGAGTCGCCACACTCAGGAAGACCCACAATGCACCGTGCCGGGGTGGGGGGGGTTACCTGAGGACTCCAGGGCATAGTCGGCCATGCCGATGCTGTCCGCTCTGTACAGGCTCAGGGCTCTGTGCACGATCTGCTGCACGTCCTGCTCCAGGTACAGAGATGCATCACGGTTCAGTTTAACCTGCCCTGTGCCCCCACCTACCCCATCAGAGTGAGAACCCCCCCCCCCCCACATCAGCATACCTGCACTGTGACAGCACCCACACCCTCCCCCTGCAGCGCCTCCCCCACGCTCCTCCAGGCGTCCTGCTTCTCCTGCTCCCGGTCCTCCGCCAGCCTCTGCAGCAGCTTCCTCTCCAGGCTCTCCAGCGCCCCCTGCAGCTCAGGCCGGAGCACGACGGCTGCTCTGCCCTCAGACAGGTGCTTCAGAAGCCACTGGGTGAGCTCATCCTTCAGCTGGGAAAGAACAGGAAACCCATCACTGCAGATGCCACAAACCTTCAGATGGTGGTCAGTATACTGACAGTGGTGTGATTTCTGTGTAATAACCCACTCCTTAGTACCTTGGCACTGGCAGCTTGTTGGGATTCCACTTTCTGCTTCAGCAAGTCGGTCGTCTCGTACAGGGAGTGGACGTCGGCCCGCAAGTCGCTAATATGTTTGTCTATTCCGGCTGTTTCCCGGCCCAGCCGACTGTGATGCTCATTTTCCACACTAGGGGGCGACAGACACCAGGTCCGTGACGCACCGCTTCCAGAGAATTAAAGCAGGAACCGCCTCATGACCGTAAGGCGACAACATAACCAGTGCAGAGGCAAACCCACCTCTTCAGCGATGACTTCAGGCCACTCAGCTCGGTTGTCAACACCTTGAGGGGAGACACCAACGGCGACACACCCATCACACGTCCGGCCTCGACTGCACGATCCCACAGCAACTCTGAGGCCACACCCACTTACATTAGGCCACACCCACTTACATTAGGCCACACCCACTTACCTCTAACTGCTGGTGCAGCGTTTGTCTGTCCTGCCTTAACAATGAAATCTCCCTCTAGAAGAGACAGAGAAAGGCAGGGCAGGGTGGGGGTCTAATTATAACCATAACAAGAGACACAGTGTCACCTGTGTGCCCCTCCCCCCCTTTTTAACCCCCCCCACTCTGTATAATAGGCACTGACAGCTCCCCATGAGTCAGTCCCCCACACAGCAGGCACAGCTTCCTCCTCTCTCACCCGCACAGTCTCCCTCTGCTCCTCATCCTCCCGACTCCTCTTCTCCTCCGCCTGCCTCGCCTGCTCCTTCTGCAGCAGCCAGCGCGTCTCCTGCTCCACCAGCTGGCCGTGGATTTCGTTCCGGAGCGCCGGCAGGTCAGGGGCCGCCGCTCCTTCCTGGGAGCGACGGGGAGACAAATGAGCGGAAGAAAGAAGAGGAAGGAAAAAATGGAAAGGGGAGAAGAAGGAGAGAGGAGAAAGAGGAAAGAGGAGGGAAAGGAGAGCAAGCGGCACCTCCACACCCATCCTTTGGGCAGATTTATATAAAGCGCTGGCAACACAGCAGACTAGCAAACACAGCAAAGTTAATTCCACTAATCCACCCGTCAGTCTAAATTAAGCAGCGAGTTTAACAGCTACACGACTTCTGACAGCTTTTATTTTATGATGTGGTTGAGGCTGATACCAGAAAAGACATAGAAGAGGTGTCAGATTAAGGGGAAGAAGACAAACAGAAGGTGTCAGATTCACGGGAAGAAGAGAGCATGTATGCTGACAGAATGACGGGGGGCTCGGCCAATGGCGCGGGACACCGCTCGGATGGACGGGGGGCTCGGCCAATGGCGCGGGACACCGCTCGGAAGGACGGGGGGCTCGGCCAATGGCGCGGGACACCGCTCGGAAGGACGGGGGGCTCGGCCAATGGCGCGGGACACCGCTTGGAAGCACTGACCTGAAGGATGGCGGAGTTGGGCTTGTGGAGAGTGGGACCAGCCTTTCTTCCAGCACTGGAGGCGAGGAAGCCGGGGAGATAGGGGTACCAGTACCACAAGCCTGCATGCAGACAGGCCAGAGTTTAGACGAGTTCTACGGACCACACACAGCAAATCATCAGCCCTGGTTTAGCACACGAACTGGGCCCAGTGACTTAACACAATATCCAGAGTGACTTAGCATAGTACATCGGTACTGTGCAGAATTCTGATTCAGGGAGACATGGATATAGATGGTGGATCAGCGAGGACAACCAGGAAACTGACATGATTTCTGTTTGATGGTGTCAAGCTGACATTCCTGTAATGTGATAGTGTAAGAGTCACCCGTACTGGAGAACAGTGAGGGTACTAACCACCATTTCAGGACACACTACAGACGGTATTTCGATTTTCGTACTTAAGAGAGAGAGGCTTAAATTTGTGTGCTTTTTTTTTTTTTTTTTTAATAAGCAAAGGCACAATGTTCTGCCATTTGTGGCAACCCCCACAGGCAAGACGCCACATTGATTTGCCCAGCATGCACTGAGAAACTCACCAAATGCCAGGAAGAGGAAGAGAAAGAAAAGCAAGATGGCCTTCGTCACGGCTGCAGTCCGTCTGCAAGGAAATATCAGTCATTTCCCTAAACTGGACAGCGATGCAGAATGAAATACAGAAGCGCCCACAGACATCGAGGAGGTGTCAGAGATAGGGAGACGGGCAGGTAGATGGATAAACTTCACTAATCTTGCAGCGACACACCGAGAGTGTAACGCACCCCGGGGCACGCTGACACGCACACACGAGAGAGACACGGCCCGCTACCTGCTGAGCAGGAACACGTCCAACAGCGAGCAGCCGGAGGTGAGGCTGTACCAGGCCGTCCCCAGCCACCAGAACAACATGGCGGCCGCTCGAGCTGTGAAAGACAGGGGGATTAATAACGACAGGCAGCATCACGCTGGCCTGACCCGGCAGCCCTGCAGGACAGCATTCTGTACCGGAGAAACAAACCACGAACCATAACAGCAGGCTTTAACAGGAACGGCTAACCACTGCCGGGTGCATATGAGCTCACACCTCCCATCACAGACGTCTTTAAAAGCCTACAGCACTGAGACGCTTCGCATGTGGCCAAACCTGGAACTCCACAAAGTTTGGACTTGTTCAGATACGTCGCTGAAAGCAGACTTAATCTCTGCCGGAGCTGTAGCAAGTCTGACCCAGAGGCAGGTTTGAGCGAGAACTGGCACTGGTATGATGACTGGGTTTACCTTCCTGGCTTTGGGTGCAATAGCCGTCTGCATGACTAACCCCAGCTGTCCAGCTCCCGCATTCAGCTCTACTGACAGGCCTCCGCCCCACAAGGGGGCGCCACTGATCGATGCAAAAGGCATGTTACCTGGAGAGTGCATTGCGTCGCTGAATGTGAACTCCGGTCTTGCGGAGGGCTGGGCAGAACCTGGGAGCACAGAGGCGGCAGAAAATCAAGCAAAACCAGATGCAGGGAAATGCGCATGAAGAAGATGTGAAGGACACAAACATGCACCCAGACGGCAGGAAAGCAGAAATGCGGATAGTCACCGAACCGCTGGCCATAAACTCCCTCCTCCGAGGAGGAGTATCCAGACGAGTGCTCTTGGACCTCAGAGAGGCTGCTCGCCCCAGGGAACGCAGAGGAGGCCGGCAGGGGCCCGTCCACGCTGGAGCTCCTTACAGAGGATGAGGAGGAGCTATTTTTCAGGGGTCCTGAAGACCATGCGTAGAATTTAAAGAGACACAAAATGAAAACATGATGCTTTATTTGCCATCTGTATAAGCATGAGTAGAGGTACATGAAGATTCTTTCATTTTTGCATATCGCATGTAGGGCTGCACGATTTCGCGTTGCGACTCTATAGCGCGCGCAATAATCACCTGGGCTTTACATAGTTTACATACGGCCACAATTTGGTAAGTAGATTAGTTGCACGCCTACGTGCATTGTGATACTCAAAAATGACCATCCTGTATAAATGCAGTGAATCCTTATGCTAAGTAAATTTGGTTAGCGGGGCGCAGCATGCTAGCGTTTTGGTTCACCGTGAAAGGGATGAGTACTGAGGCGGCGGTGAAGAAAGGCACGGCTCAGCCGCCAGAACATATTTTATAAGAGGAAATCTTGTGGATAAACAAGGTAAAAAATACATCGGTCGTGTGGCGGTACTTTTTGCACTTTCAGGTCCGACACATTAATTAAACATAAGGAACCGCTGAATTCATACAGATAAGTAACTTCTGTGCATCACAATATGGCTCTCATTAATATTTTGGGTGCAATACTAACCTGCTCATCAAATTGTGGCTGTACATGAACATCCATGCAGTACGGAAACGCCGGCATCTGGACAGGTTCTTACACCCCTCATAGAAACCCTGGTGCTTACTGCAGATGCACCATTTAATCGCGGTGCGATATTGTGCAGCCCTAATCCCATCATGCACTGCTTTATATGGAAATACACACATATACAGCTGAGAGTAAAGCCTGGGTCTGGGAACAGGCTCAGGCCATTTATCTGAAACATTTTGGATGGAGAAGGGGGACACTGGCGTTCTCAGATCCAACCACGGGTACCACTCACCCCAGTACCCTGCTGCCTCCTCGCTGAACTGGCCCACGGACTCAGCGGAGGTGACCGTGGACGCATAGCGCGACGACGCCGCCTTGCGCCCCCCCGTCTTCTTCTTGAAAACCCTGCCAGAGAGGTGGGGGGTGTGAGGCGAACACAGGGAGAGTCGGAGGGCAGCTCAGATGGGGATGGGGGGGGGCGTTGCATGCATGCCTTACAGAAGTCTCCACATACAGGCTCAGCGTCATGCAAACAAACAGCTTCCGACAATATATATCCACAGGGGGGCGCTGCGTACCTGAGAGGACTCTCCCTGTAGGAGATCTGGCCGGTGGAGCCGGTGGAGCTCGTGCTGGCAGCATCATCATCGGCCTGGTAGTAACCGGTGGTCACGAGTCTCGAGCTGCGCCGTGACATTGCTGGGGGGGGGGGAGGTGGATAATTAACTGGGAGGGCAGTAACACAGGACACACAGCACCAGAGAGGTGTGGTTAGGGTCACTCCTACCGCCCCCACTGAGTGCCCTGTGTGGGACACGTCTCTCTATGCTATCTTTTCTTTACCCTACTAGCCTGTGAGGCACCCATGTAATCGATTCCTAATCCATAATCACTGATCATTTACGGCACGTCCTGCCGTTTCCCAAAGCCTCCAGGCCTCGGTGTTTCCTTCCCATCTCCCTACGTGTCGGCATTGAACTCTGGACCCAACCACGCAGCACCAGGCTATGCGGCACCAGAAATCCGGCTAAAGCATCTAATCTATCAGCAGCAGCCCGTGAGAATCAGAAAGCAACCGGCGCCCCAACATCTACTCAACCAACCTGGTAGTAAATCCAAAGCTATTCATTAGATATAAAAATACGGCTGCAGTGTGCAGAAAGCTCATGGCGTCAAACACACTGCTGATTGCTGCTCCTCGCTCTGCGCGCATCACATAAGGAGACCCCAGATAAGCCACACGCAGCTACGCTGGACAAATCCGCGGCTAAGCTAACGGGGATGTGTTCTGAAGCTCTGATGGACACGGGCCACTGGGACACAGCTGAGGGGGAGGGGGCGCTCAGGCCTGAAGACAGACACCCCGCCCCCCCTTAACATGAAAAAACAAGGTGCTCAGGCTTAACATATTGTGTTGTAATTCAACGAATTTCCGAAATAGTTTTGCATCACCGTTTTTGATGAGTTACACATACTTTCAAGACCTCAGAATTGTTTTTTTTTTTTAACTACTAATGATATACACTGCGGGTGTTTTCTTATGAGTTGTAAAATTCTGTTATTACTATGGCTTCATAGCTCAGCTATAGCCATTTGGTAGTGAGGATCTGCTGGATTATTTGGCCTTTTTAAATTTCTAACCCAACCTTACATGGCCCGCCGACCCCTCCTCCACTCATGACCCACGCACCCCCTTGCTTTACCACAAACAGGCACACACTTGTGACCCCCGCCCTGCCTGCTGTGACCCAGCCGTCGGTCTGTAACGCAGAGAGATGCCGGGGGGGCGGGCGATGCTGCATGCTCACATAGCGTGACTTGGTGGCAAGTTCCACATATTCGATTAGATGGGGAAACCACAATACAGCAAGACGGAAAGAGAAGGGGAACTGAAAACACTGACAGAGGGAGAGAAAGAGGCCATTATTAAGAGAGAGTAGGGTTAGGGTGGGGTGGCCCAGCACACAGGGCTACAGATAACGTGAGGCGTGGAATGAGGCGGGCTAACAAATGAGACAAAACTCAGCTAAATGAGATGACGCTCATACATATTATTATGATTAGTGTTGCTAAGCAACCATATCTATTATTATTATTATTATTATTATGGTCGCTTAGCAACACGACCAAATGTGCCCTGCGCAGCTTATACTTTAAGTCATCTGTAAGGTTTCATAATGTATACGTTTCTTTAAAAAAAAAAGGGGGGGGGGGGCTTCCCCACTTGAGATCCAGATCTGCTACGCTGCCCCCATCCCCGACCCGGATCAGTGTTTAACACGCTAGAAAACCGCGCATGGGGACCGACATCGATCCGGGGCACAGCGAGAGTCACAGGGCGGCCGGCGCGGCCTGAGACACAAGGCGCATGCGCAGACGCACATGGCCTGGCGCCAGCTTGATGCCAGCCCGGGGCTCGAGCCGCAGGAACGCACCCGCGTCCGTCTACAGATACCTTGCAAGCGGGGCAACTTTACAGCCGGCAAGAAGGGCAGAGCCGACCCCTGTCAGAAAGAAAGTCTCACTACACGCAAAGTTTCACTAAATTAGCTTACACAGGTAGGACACTGAAACAAACAAACAATGCAGACACAAAGAACCGTGAAAGGATGGGCACTCTCTGAAACGCCCTGTGACACAGTCCGAGCCCGAATGCGCAGCAAACAGACTCGCAGGCAACGTAACAATTAAAAATCCGTAAAGATAAGTTCGCTGTCAGGACCGTCAGAAAACACCAACATGAACAGCAGATAAGTAAATGGTTTTATGGCCAACTGGATAAAATAACATTTTGATATCTTTACTGCACACAGACGCGCCAGCGATTAAAGCCGACAGGGCAATTACACGGCGTCCAAAACCACGTGCGACGCCCGCCCTACATGCAAAATTCAACATTTCTAAAAACGCAGCGGCGTTTCTATATTTACCAACACAGCAGTTGGCTATGAAAAGTACTGCCGACACGAAGCATCGCAACAAAAGGGTAGCTACCTTCGCATCAGACCAGCACGCATACGATACAGGAGCGTTATTACTTAGTCATATTTAAAAACTAGACCCTATGATGAATATCTTATTTAACGAGAAGCTTGCCGAGCGTGTTATCTTACCCGGTTAGCCACGGGAGCAGCCTTCGGTGCGTCTGAGATGCGCTGCGAGATGTCAGCGTTATGCTCTCCGGCCGGATAACACGGCTAGCTGCTCTCTGCAATAACCCACCGTCACGCTGGGACTGAGCCGTGCAACCTCAATTTCTACTGATCAAACAAACCAGTTTGAAGTAAACCCGGATGTCTGGTGGGGCGACAGCGACAGGAAGACAGTTACACCAGAAAACGAAACACCCCCTTTATTCTATTTTTGTCGGAATGTAGAGTAGACGGCCTCTCGGGCGCCCTCTTGTGGTGGCGTTCTCCTATCGCCCTCCTGTCCACCTCCGGTTTCCTGTCTCCTGCCCTCTCGCTCCACAATTAGAGAGTTATTTTTGAGTTTGATATGGGCATTATTATTTATTTATATTCTGTAGCATTCCATATTTGTCTAAGTATAAAAATAGATTTTATTTTTTGGTGAAAAGGATACGCATAGTATTTGGTCTACATAGCGTTTGTTCTTCAGTACGGAAGAGGATTAGGGCCACCATGA